GAAAGAAAGAAAGAAAGAAAGAAAGAAAGAAAGAAAGAAAGAAAGAAGAAAAGGAGAGAAAGGAAAAAATAGAAGGAAGGAAGGAAAAAGAGAAGGAAGGCAAGGAGAGAAAGTAAAAAAGAGAAGGAAGGAAAGAAGGGAGGGAGGGCATGGAAGGAATTGTTGCTCTCATAGGGAAGAGCTCTGCCCCATAAACCATCCTCCCCATCCTGACTCTATTCTCATCTCCTGCCTGACCACATCCTATCCGAATCTTCATTCCCCCCCCCCTTTCACTGATTCATTTTATTTAAAACATTTATATAGGTGGCTCCTTCCAGGCCACATCACAGAGCGTTGGCTCCCTTTGGCTCTTCCTCGATCCCACATCTCTTAAAATTTGCTCCGGTTGGGAAGCCCTGCTCTAGTGGATCTTGCATCCGGCAGGGGGTGGGACTGGATGACCTCTAGGCTCCTTTCCCACTTAGTGATTCCAGGTAACCTTCGGTGCCCTGGAGGTGGAAAGCAGCAGGAGAAAGGATACTGGCCAAGGTGTTCATCTTGCTTTGTATGGATTTCATCATCCCTCGCTGCGAAGTCATGTTTTCTTTTGTGGCCATGGCAATGCTGAGGTGGAGAGGAACCAGAGAAAGGGCAAAAAAGAGATTAAGGCACATGGTACTCAAGGTTTAACTCACTTACAGGTAGTCCTCGACTTACAACAGAGGACAACAGAGGACTTACGACACAACAGAGTCCAAAATTTCTGCTGCTAAGCGAGACACTGGTTCATTGAACGTCGTCCCATTTTACGACCTTTCTTGCCACCGTTGTTAAGTGAATCACTGCCGTTCTTAAATTAGTCACACGGCTGTTAAGCGAATCTGGCTTCCCCCCTTTGCTTTCTCAGGTCGCAAAAGGGGGTCACGGGACCCCAGGACACTGGAAGCGGCCGTAAGTATGAAGCAGTTACCAAGCATCTGAATTTTGATCACAGGGAAGCTTAACCGAGGTTGTCATTTTTAAAAATGGTCCTAAGTCACTTTTTTCCAGTGCCGTTGTGACTTTCAATGGTCACTATCCAAACGGTTGTAAATCGAGGACTACTTGTACTTGAAACGACTAAGCCATGTTTTGATCGACAAATAAATATTTGATTTGTATAAATCTGTTCCAAGGCCCCAAGTCTTTCCCCACAGCATTCTGGGATTTGTAGTAGAGAGCGAGAGAGCGAGAATGCATGGACTTCAACTCCCAGAATTCCCCAGCCAGGATGGGTGGACTCATCATGCTGACTGGGAATGGAAGTCCACCCATCTTAAATCATTCTTGGTTGTTGAATTCTGGGAGTTGAAGTCTACCTTTGTTAAAGCCTGCTGGCTGGGGAATTCTGGGAGTGGAAGTCCATTTCTCTTAAAACAGGCTGGCTAGGGGATTCTGGGAGTGGAAGTCCACCCCTCTTAAAGCATGGCTGGCTGGGGAATTCTGGGAGTGGAAGTCCACCCCTCTTAAAGCATTGCTGGCTGGGGGATTCTGGGAGTGGAAGTCCACCCCTCTTAAAACATTGCTGGCTGGGGAATTCTGGGAGTGGAAGTCCCCCCCTCTTAAAGCATGGCTGGCTGGGGAATTCTGGGAGTGGAAGTCCAACCCTCTTAAAGCATGGCTGGCTGGGGAATTCTGGGAGTGGAAGTCCATCCCTCTTAAAGCATTGCTGGCTGGGGGATTCTGGGAGTTGAAGTCCATCCCTCTTAAAGCATGGCTGGCTGGGGAATTCTGGGAGTGGAAGTCCACCCCTCTTAAAGCAGGCTGGCTGGGGGATTCTGGGAGTGGAAGTCCATGCATTTTAAAGCATGGCTGACTGGAGAATTCTGGGAGTGGAAGTCCACCCCTCTTAAAATTGCAAAGATTGAGAAACACCAATCGAAGCAAATTCCAAAACGTTTGCACCTTCGAAACAGTCGTTTAACACGTTTAACCGGGAGAGTTAACCAGGAATGTGTGTTTCTGTGCCGCAGCGGACAAGTGCGTGTTTCCTAGGCTACCCCACCCGGGAATTGGGGCCGCCCCATCTCTACCCAGAGGACCCTCCTTGGAGAATTGGGGCAGGCCCAGGAAGGAGCAAGGAAAGAACCCCAGGAGGCTGCCCCGTTTCTGGCCTAGGGAGAGGCAGAAAGACAAAGCTGCAGGAAAAGGCGAAATGAGGGGGCAGGAGGAGGAAAAAAAAAGAAGCAACTTCGGTTGTGGGTAGAGATGCAAAGGGTTTGGCGGTGCTGGGAAAACTCTTAAGGGCTCTAATGGAGAGGGAGGGGAACCTGCCAGCCAATTTGGACAATGTGCTACTCGGAGGGATTCCCACGAGAAAAAAAAATGGCGTCATCGAGCATCTCTTTTTCACACGGACCCAATAAGCCGGCCTCTTAATAGCTTCGCCTGTGGTTTTTCAATGCCTTATGGCAGGGATCTCCAAACTTTGGGCTGATCACTAAGGGATTGGTGAGTTCTAGTCCCGCCTTAGGCATGAAGGCCAACTGGGTGACTTTGGGCCAATCACCAGGAGACGGGGAGTTCTAGTCCCACTTTAGCCATGAAAGCCAACAGGGTGACTTTGGTCCAATCACCAGGAGACGGTGAGTTCTAGTCCCGCCTTAGCCCCAAAAGCCAACAGGGTGACTTTGGGCCAATCACCAGGAGACTGGGAATTCTAGTCCCGCCTTAACCTCAAAAGCCAGCTGGGTGACTTTGGGCCAATCACCAGGAGACTGGAAATTCTAGTCCCGCCTTAACCCCAAAAGCCAACAGGGTGACTTGGGCCAATCACCAGGAGACTGGGAGTTCTAGTCCCACTTTAGCCATGAAAGCCAACAGGGTGACTTTGGGCCAATCACCAGGAGACGGTGACTCCTAGTCCCGAGTTCTAGTTGTAAAGTGGGGCAGAACGCCGTGGACCACTGTCCAGCAACGGAAATTTTGGGTTCCGTTGTGGTCGTAAGTCGAGGACAAGCAGTCGCGTCCCTTATCGATCCGTGGCCACCGCCTGCAGCCCGCAGCGTGGATCCGAGGCCCTGAGCCAAGCGCTAATGTTAAATACATTTTAGATTCTCTCTCTCTCTCCGAAAGCCGCTACCCTTCCTTCTTCCAGGCTGCCAAGATGAGGCTGGGAAGGAGAAAGAGGCCGAACGGACCCCATTAAGGAAAGAGATTGAAAGTGCCGCTTTCCAAAAGGCAATTTCCAATCACCGCTCTTCAGGATCTCTGAATTACAGACATCCAAAATGGGTCTCCACCACAAAACCCATCCTCTCCCAGGCTCTGGCTCTGGAGAAAAGAAAAGAGAGAGCGGGAGTCATTTCAAAAGTCTCTTCCCAGCCTTTTCTGTCCTGGGGGGTTTTTGGGGTGGGTGGGAGCTTATTTAGTTCAGTACAGTGCGTGTGTGTGAGAGAGAGAGAGAGAAGGGGGGGAGAGGGAGGGGGGAGAGAGAGAGAGGGAGGGAGAGGGAGGGAGAGGGGAGAGAGGGAGGGGGAGGGAGAGAAGGAGAGGGAGGGAGGGAGGGAGAGGGAGAGAGAGAGAGAGGGAAGGAGGGAGGGGGAGAGAGAGGGAGAAAGGGGGAGAGGGAGAGGGAGAGAGAGAGAGGGAGAGGGAGAGAGAGGGAGGGAGGGAGCGAGAGAGAGAGGGAGGGAGAGGGGAGAGAGGGAGGGAGAAAGAAGGAGACGGAGGGGGGAGGGAGAGAAGGAGAGAGGAGAGGCAGAGAGAGAGAGGGAGGGAGAAAGAAGGAAAGGGAGGAGGGAGGGAGAAAGGAGAGGGAGAGAGAGGGAGGGAGAGAGGGAGAGGGAGGGAGAAGGAGAGAGAGAGATGGGGAGGGGGTAGGAGGGAGGGGAGAGAGAGAGGGAGAGAGAGAGGGAGGAAAGGAGAGAGAGGGAGAGAGAGAGAGGGAGGAGAGAGAAAGGGAGAGGGGGAGAGAGGGTGGGGGAGGGAGAGGGAGGGAGAGAAAGAGGGAGGGAGAGGGAGGGAGAGAAAGAGGGAGGGAGAGGGAGGGAGAGCTCAATACAGGCAGTCCTCGCCTTACGACTACAATGGAGCCCAACATTTCTGTCGTTGAGTGAGACAGTTAAGTGAATTTTGCCCTTTTAATGACCTTTCTTGCCACCGTCGTTAAGTGAATCACTGAAGTGGTTAAGTTAGTAACCCGGTTGTTAAGTGAATCTGGCTTCCCCTTGTCTGAAGGTCGCAAAAGGGGATCACGAGACACACACACACCCCCCGGGACACCACAACCGTCATAAATATGAGTCAGTTGCCGAGCGTCGGACTTTTGGTCACGTCACCACGGAGATGCTGCAACGGTTGTAAGTGTGTGAAAATTTACCTAAGTCACTTTTTCAGTGAACGGTCACTAAACGAACGGTCATAAGTCGAGCACTACCTGTATAAGGGCTTAATTCTTTCAGAAGGCCTTCTGGGGAATTTGAAAAGGCAGGAGAAAGCTCTGTGTGTTTGTGCTTGTGTGTGTGTGTGTGTGTGTGTGTGTGACTTCTAATACTGGGATATTAAAACCAACCAATTCCTGTGTGTATGTGTGTGTGTGAGAGAGAGAGAGAGAGAGAGGGAGGAGAGAGGGAGAGGGAGGGGGGAGGGAGGGAGAGGGAGGGAAAGAGAGAGAGAAGGAGGAGGGAGGTGGAGGGAGAGAAGGATAGGGAGGGAGAAGGAGGGAGAGGGGAGAAGGAGAGAGAGAGAGTGAAGGAGAGGGAGAGGGGGAGGGACGGAGATAGAGACAATGCCAGGATCCCCCAGGGTGGAGGCTAGTTGAAGCGATCCGGTGGATCCCTTCGAAGAAAGCCAGGCTTACCTTATCGTCTCTTCGATCAGCCGGTCAGAGCTGAAAGGAAAAAAGAAAAAATGAGTTAATTTTTTTTTCATCCCTCTCTCCCCGCGCAAACTGTCAACATAAAATTGGGGTCGAGAGTTTGATCCTAGGTAGAGGCAGATATTTCTCTCTCTGGGTACGATGAGAATATACAGTATCTGCCGAACAAAACTCCGCAATGGCAACAGGGAAGGGCATCCGGCCAGTAAACCCCCAGCTCCAGTTGCCCAGATTCCACCCTGCAAGCGATTCTGGGTCGTTAAAAGGAGATGGTGAAGTCCAGCTCTCTCCTGCTTTTCCAATATTAACAGAATCCCACCCCAAAGTCGACAGTATTTTCGTTTTTTTCCGTCTCCGCTTTTTCCGGAAAATGTCGCCCATCCCTTGGCAAGGAGCCGACGTTCGTTTCCATTCCACGTTTTAAGAGTTTGGGCAGGAAAGGCGTGAACAGATGGCTGGGCGGCTTGGCTCGGGCGGCTGAGTTAATATTGTGAAAACGAAGAGAAAAGGAGCAGGAAAATAAAGAGTCATCTCACTGCCTCGGGAGTAGTCGGGGTGGGGGGGGGAAAGGTGTTTTCCTGGTAATCCTGGGGTGAGAGGTAGCTTTGCAATTATTGGCTTGCAATTATTGTAATTGCTGCAAAGGAAATTGGAAGCTTATATTTCTTTTTATCTTTTCTTCGGGGACTGGATTATTTTTCTCTTTTTTTCCCTTCTCTCTTTTTTTCTGTATTAGTTTTGATTATGTATGTATGTATGTATCTCTCTATCTATCGTCTATGAATCAATATATCTACCAGTATATCTCTCTATCATCAATCATTCATCTATTTATCTATCATTTATCAATCTACACCTATCATCTGTAAATCTATTTTCTGTCTATCTATCAATCATCTATCAAATGAGGACCCAGATTGTGGGGGGCAATAAGCTGACTTTGTATAAATATACAAAAGGATGAAGGCTATTGCTTAGCGCACTGTAAGCCGCCCTGAGTCTCCGGAGAAGGGCGGCATATAAATCAAATAAAAATAAAAATAAAATAAATAAATAAATAAAATACATCTATATCTCCATCAACTGATTAATTCTCTATTTCTCTATCATCTATACCTATCACTTATAAACCTATTCTGTCTGTCTGCCTTTCTATCTTTATCTATTTTATCTATCTATCCATCTATCATTCAATATATCTATATCTCGTATCATTAACTGATTAATCATCTATTTATCTATCTTCTATTGCTCTATACCTATCTTCTATAAACCTATTTCCTGTCACTCTACCTATATCAGATATTTATCTATAATCTATCAATTGTCAATCATTTATCCGTCTCTGTTGTAAGCCGCCCAGAGTCCCTTGGAGTGGGGGGTGGCATAGAAATGCGACTAAAATAAATAAATAAATAAATAAATAAATAAATAAATAAATAAATCCATCCATCCATCCATCCATCCATCCATCCATCCATCCATCAAAAATAAGAATACTGTAACTGATGCAGAAAGCAGCTGCCTGGGGAATTCTGGAAGTTGAAGTCCACACATTCCACAGTTGCCACGTTTGAAAGACCCTCTCCTGAAGCATCCTGCCCCCTCCCTCCCTCACGGGTGAGGAGACACAGAGAGAGACATGGATAGATAGATAAATAGATAGATAGATACTGATACACAGACAGACAGATAAACAGACATAGCTAGCTACAGATAGGAGAGAGAGAGAGAGAGAGAGAGAGAGAAAGGAGGAGGAAGAGAAGAAGAGAAGGAAGGAAGGAAGGAAAGAAAGAAAGAAAGAAAGGAAGGAAGGAAGAAAGAAAGGAAGGAAGAAAGAAAGAAAAAGAAAGAAAGAAGAAAGAAAGGAAGAAGAAAGAAAGAAAAAGAAAAGAAAGAAAGAAAGAAAAGAAGAAAGAAGAAAGAAAGAAAGAAAGAAGAAAGAAAGAAAGAAAGAAAGAAAGAAAGAAAGAAAGAAAGAAAGCTAGGCAAGATGACCGATGGAGTGCAAAGGGGATGAGAGGGCTGTTTATGGTCAGCCCTCGTCCTGGGAGGTGACTGCAAGAAAGTTCCAGAACAGCCAGCTGGGCGAGTCATTACCGAACCAGCAAGGCCGATGTTGTTAAGTGAATCATAACACTGAGCAACAGAAATTTTGGGCTCGATTGTGTTCGTAACTCGAGGACTACCTGTACAAGAATCTTCCCAGACTGGCAGTTTGCATCTGGGCCAGGCTACATAAGGTTCAATGGCATTCAAGGGACTTTGGGCTCTTGTGTCTACGTTAGGATTCCAGACTTCTTCCCTGCTTGACTCCTTCCCCGGTCTTCCCCACCAGGCTCTTTCCAACCCATCTCCATGTTTCGGTCTCCGCTGGTCCCTCCTGACTTTCTCAAGCGCGCTCAATGGCCTCCCTCGCAACTCCGACAAGCATCGTCTACCTCTCCGGAAGACCGGTTCCCGCGGAGAGGGACCCTCCCTCGCCATAACAGCCCATTCCCCCCAAGGGAACGGGTCTAAAACGGAACTTAAAAAGAAAGCACCGGGCATTAAATGTAAAGGCATTACCACCGGCTACATCTGTCGGAAGGAATTCCGGTAATTTGCTAATGGACGAAGTCAACTTTTCCCTTTCAACGTTCCGGGGAGGTTTAAATTGCAGAGACATTCGCTCGGCGGAAAAAACGCCGTTAGGTGCCATCCGGACTGAGCGAAGAGGTGATAAATGCCATTACGGGTGAGGAAAGAAAGGGAATTAAAAAAAATAAAAACCCCCAGAAAACGTGGGAGCTTTAATACCTCAGATGGGAAACGATTAAAAGGTTCCCGCGAAGTCAGCCTCTGAGCTCATTAAAAGGACGGGAAAAGTCAATCGGAAAAAAAAACAAACAACAAAACCTGAGAAAAAGGACATGTTCCTAACGGGTGTAAACAAATGCAGCGAGTCCTCGACTTACGACTACGAGGGAGCTCAAAATTTCCGTTGTTAAGTGAGACACTGGTTAAGTGAGTTTCGCCCCGTTTTTACGACCTTGTCGCAGTTCGTTAAGCGAAATCCCTGCAGGGGATAAGTGGGTAGCCCGGTTGTTAAGTGAATCTGGCTTTCCCGTTGACTTTTCCTCGTCAGGAGGTCGCGAAAGGGGATCACGGGACCCCCTGGACACTGCGCCCGTCATAAATGCGAGTCAGTCCCCCAAGCGCCTGAATCCGGATCACGTGACGCAGGGGAAGCTGCAAAAGGTCGTGACAAGTGTGAAAAACGACCGTCAGTCGCATTTTTCCCCCCCAGCGCCGTTGTAACTTTGAACGGTCGCTAAATGAACCATCGTAAGTCAAGGACTTCCTGTACAGTTCATTTTGTGACCCTTCCCCAAAACTACAAATTACAGGATGCCATGGGGAAGGCCTTTGGGGTGGGTGGGTGGGGGGCTTGGAACAGATTTAAACAAATCAAATATTATTCGTCTATCAAAGCGTTAAGAGCCATAGCATGGCGGAGTTATTTCAGATATAGCTAGTCCTCGATTTACGACAGTTCATTTAGTGACCGTTCAAAGTTACGACACTGAAAAAACGTGACTTAGGACCGTTGTCCATACAACCGTTACAGCATTCCCCATAGTCACGTGATCAAAATCCAGACAACTGGCAACTGACTTGTATTTATGACGGTTACAGCGTCCCGGGGTCACGTGATCCCCTTTTGCGACCTTCTGTGAAGCAATAAGTCAATGGTGGGGAAGCCGGATTCACTTAACAACCAGGTGACTAACTTAACGACGGCAGCGATTCACTGAACAAGAGTGGCAAGAGGATAGGTGCAAAAGCTAAGGAAATATCGAAGAAAGAAGACTTTTGTATTTATGTATTTTATTTTGTGCCTGTTCACCGCTCTGAGTCCTTCGGGAGTAGGGCGGTATATAAATCTAATAATAATAATAATAAAAAAAGACTTGGGAGTTGGAAAAGTGTAATAAACCTGTATAAATATGAAAAAAAATAATAATAGTGGCAGGAACGGCGGTTAAATGGGGTGAAACTCACTTAACAACGGAAACGTTGGGCTTTATTGACCTGTACGCCGTATCTGGAGGAAAATATACTTGAAACTTGGAGGCAAAATCCTTGCTGTCATTCTAGATCAGTGTTTCTCAAGCTGGGTTTATTTGAAGAGGGATGGACTTCAACTCCCAGAATCCCCCAGCCAGCCATGCTTTCAGAGGGCTGGATTTCCACTCCCAGAATTCCCCAGCCAGCCTGCTTTAAGAGGGGTGGACTTCCCCTCTTAAAACAAGCTGGCTAAGGAATCCTGGGAAATGAAGTCCTCCCATCTTAAAACAAGCTGGCTGGGGAATTCTGGGAGTTGAAGTCCTCCCATCTTAAAACAAGCTGGCTGGGGGAATTCTGGGAGTTGAAGTCCCCCCCTCTTCAAATAACCAAGCACGACAAAGGCTACTCCAGTGGCTGAATTGGACACAATCTGGACAACCGGATGATTTCTGATCTTTTTTTCCCCTTTATTCTTCTCCTGCTGCTGTGGTCATTTTGGACAAAAAGGCTATTTTTTTTTTAAAGCCACAAAGTGTAAATCAAAGAAAATAATAATAATAATAAAGAGATGAGTTGGAAGGTGGTAAACCCAACAGAATGCTGACCGGAAAAAAAAAAATCTTATTTGTTGCTATGGCTTAAAAGCCGCTGAGCAATCTCACTCCAAGCCAAAGCGAGCGAGCGAGAGGGAGATCTTTTGGCCAGCGGGAAAAGAAAGGAAAATTTCCCCTTTTTTTGCACGGGGAAAGTTCAGCCTCCTCTGACACGGCCAGTCAATTAACGGTTGGTGGAAAAGCCGTTATTAGAAGGGAAGGAATAGAGTTTCCATCTATCAAGGTTCCCCACGCCCCCAATATTTTTATTTTTCCTATGATGAAAGTGTTGGCGTGCCTCGGTTGCAAAGATATCAAGATTAATGGACCTTCGAGATGAACGCGGTATTTTGGCAGAGAGGTGGTGTTCTGGAAGGAAGCTGCATCTGCAAATTCAGGAGGAGGAAGAGGAGGAGGAGGAAGACGATGACGATGTGGCTCTGAGCTGGGTGGTTTTCTTGCAAACGTTACGTGACCCAACTAGGGAACATCATCAGTGCTAGAAGGGAGGAGGAGGAGGAGGAGGAGAAGGAGGAGAGGGGGAGGAAGAGGAGGAGGAGGAGAAGGAGAAGAAGAAGAAGGAGAAGGAGAAGGAGAAGGAGAAGGAGAAGGAGAAGGAGAAGAAGGAAGAAGAAGAAGAAGAAGAAGAAGAGGAAGGAGGAGGAGGAGGAGGAGGAGGAGGAGGAGAGAGGAGGAGGAGGAGGAGGAGGAGGAGGAGGAGGAGGAGGAGGAGACTGTGGCTCTCTGAGCTGGGTGCTTTTCTTGCAGACATTTCATGACCCAACTAGGGAACATCATCAGTGGTAGAAAGGAGGAGGAGGAGGAGGAGAGGAGGAGGAGGAGGAGGAGAGGAGGAGGAGGAGAAGAAGGAGAAGGAGAAGGAGAAGGAGAAGGAGAAGGAGAAGGAGAAGGAGAAGGAGAAGGAGAAGAGACTGTGGCTCTCTGAGCTGAGTAGTTTTTTTGCAGACATTTCATGACCCAACTAGGGAACATCATCAGTGGTAGAAGGGGGGGGAGGAAGAGGAAGAGGAAGAGGAGGAGGAAGAGGAGGACTGTGGGGTCCTTGGTGCTCTCTGATGGTGACGGTTTTCTTGCAGACGTTTCATGACCCAACTAGATAACATCATCAGTGCTAAAAGGGAAGAGGAGGAGATAGAGGAGGAGGAGGAGAGGAGGAAGAGGAGGAAGAGGAAGAGGGAGAAGGAGAAGGAAGAGAAGGAGAAGGAGGACAGACAGACTGTGGCTCTCTGAGCTGGGCGGTTTTCTTGCAGACATTTCATGACCCAACTAAGGAACATCATCAGTGGTAGAAGGAAGGAGGGTTTGTGAGGAGGAAGAGGAGGGACTCTAAGGTCCCTTCCAACTCGGTTATTCTGTATTCTGACAGGGGGCTGGACTAGAAGACCTCTAAGCTCCCTTCCAAGTCGGTTATTCTGTTATTCCCCCGCTTTAGCAGAATCCCGAAGGCACGCTGAGAGACTGCTGTGATTTAGCATCCATTTACACTCTTATCTTCCAACCAGCAGCAGGGGTATAAAAAATAAAAAAAAAAGGAAATATACCGTCCAATTTATGTTACGCACACTTCATTACAGAAGACCACAAACGGCTTTGGAAGGAACGAAATGTTTTTGACAACTTCCCAAAAAGAGGCAATCCTTGAAGAAGTAGCGCCCCCTGGAGGTGAGATGCTGCGGCTGTCTCAGAAAGGAACCGCTTTGTTAAACCAGGATAGAAACCCGGGATGGATCAACCAGGGTTCTTAAACGTAACCTGAGTTCAATGTACAATCCAGCATAAATTTAAGTAGGAAAAAATAGAACCTAAGGTGAACACTGGCAGTCCTCGACTTACAACAGTTCATTCAGTGACCGTCCGAAGTTACAACAGCACTGGGAAAAAGTGACTTGGGGTCCCAACTGACTCATATTTATGACGGTTGCAGCGTCCCGAGATCCCCTTCAGCGAGGGAAGCCAGACTCGCTTAACAACCGGGTTGCTACCTGAACAACTGCAGCGATTCACTTAACAGCGGTGGCAAGACGGGTCGTAAAATGGGACAAAATTCACTTAACAAATCCGGCTTCCAAAGTTGCTCCCAAACGCACTATTCAGGTTACCCGGAGGGGGAGGATATAAACCTCCAAGCGGCAACAATAACTCTCAGAGAGAGCACTAACGACCAGAGGACTGCACAGAATATAAATCCCTCCGTTATTCGGTCAGAACTGAAGCAGCTCCTTGGATGAGAAGCGAGACCTCTTCAAAGGAAAAAAAACAAAGAAAGTCCAATTGCGTTTTGAAAAAAAAGCCAACCTAAAAATCAGTATGTTGAGAGTTATCGGTAAGAAAAATAATAAAGGTGGGGGATACAGACAAATCGATAAATACAAATTAGGAAACGACGAATTTAGCAAGAAAGGATACTGGCGGCTCACGGGAGAAAAAGACCCGGAGCGGGACGGTGACTTACTTTCGGAGGTGTTCGTTCTCCTTCAAGAAAAGTTCCGTTCGCCTGTTGTTGACCCCACAACCGCTTTTGTACGACCTGAAAGGTGGGAAGAAAAAAAATGAAAAAGAGAATTCAGATTTTTAAATAATGATGATTTATAGGCAGAGGTGAGCAACGGTGACCCCTTTACGACCGGAGGACTTCAACTCCCAGAATTCCTGAGCCAGCCAATATGGCTGGCTCAGGAATTCTGGGAGTTGAAGTCCACCGGTCTTAAAGGGGCCGCAGTTATTTATTTATTTATTATATTTCTATACCGCCTTTCTCCCGTAGGACTCAAGGCGGTGTACAGTCAAGAAAAATATAGACACACAAACATCATAAAATTGCTAATTAAAATTATTACTTAATTTTAATTAAGTTACCCACTCCTGACTTACGAGAAACACCCCCCCGCACCCAAATAATTGGACAATTCTCAGTCTAACTCAGAGGTGGGTTTCAGCAGGTTCTGAGCAGTTCTGGAGAACCGGTAGTGGAAATTTTGAGTAGTTCAGAGAACTGGTAGTAAAAATTCTGACTGGCCCCACCCCCATCTATTCTCTGCCTCCCGAGTCCTAGCTGATTGGGAGGGAATGGAGATTTTACAGTATCCTTCCCCTGCAGTGGGGAGGAAATGGAGATTTTATAGTATCCTTCCCCTGGATTGGGGAGGGAATGGAGATTTTACAGTATCCTTCCCCTGGATTGAGGAGGGAATGGAGATTTTATAGTATCCTTCCCCTGGATTGGGGAGGGAATGGAGATTTTGCAGTATCCTTCCCCTCGATTGAGGAGGGAATGGGGATTTTACAGTATCCTTCCCCTGGATTGGGGAGGGAATGGAGATTTTACAGTATTCTTCCCCTGGATTGGGGAGGGAATGGGGATTTTACAGTATCCTTCCCCTGGATTGGGGAGGGAATGGAGATTTTGCAGTATCCTTCCCCTGGATTGGGGAGGGAATGGAGATTTTACAGTATCCTTCCCCTGGATTGGGGAGGGAATGGAGATTTTACAGTATCCTTCCCCTGGATTGGGGAGGGAATGGAGATTTTGCAGTATCCTTCCCCTGCCATGCCCACCAAGCCACGCCCACAGAACCGGTAGTAAAAAAATTTGAAACCCACCACTGCTCTAACTGCTTTGTTTAGAATATTACTTTTCTAATCCATTTCGGCCTCTTGTGTGTATGTGTGTTTTTGCGGCCATTGCTAACTTTGAAAGCAGATGATTAAGTAGCTTTGGGGGGTATCGCAACTTTGAACAGTTGCTAAGCGACCGTTCGTAAGTCGAGAACTCCCTGCATTGAACATAAGACCAAATTTGCAATCCTTCACGTTGTGGGCAAATAAACACATCTCTCTCTCTCTCTCTCTCTCACACACACACACAGAGTTGTTTATAACAAGACCACACCCTGTTGTTTTTGGGAGTGTGCGAAGTTCAAAGTCTCCAAGGAATATATGGTGTTATTTGAAGTTCAGGGTTCAGAGCTGAGTAAATAGCACCATATTGCAAGTCAATTATTTTTATTAACAGCTTCAGAGAGACTGCAGAGGCCTGCAGACAGAAGTCCCAAATGCAAAGGCATTGACTTACAACCAGGGTGGATCTGATTTAAATCGAGTTGATTTAAATCACGATTTAAATCATGATTTAAATCCCTAGTAAAAAGGCTTGATTTAAATCAACTCGATTTAAATCATAATTTTTCTCTGCTCCTCCTTTGACCCACCGTTGACTCACCGATAGTCCCAGTGTTGCAGAATATACAGCCTCCTGCTACATAACTAAGCTCCATTTCATGCTGAATAAACTAAATTATTTATGTATCTTACATAGAAAACTATCTTAACGATAGATTTTTACCCCAAAAGTTTTTTATTAAAATAAATTCGATAAAAATCAAAAAAATCCGATCTAAATAAAAAAAATCTGATTTTTTTTAATTTTTTTTTTAAAAATCATTGATATTCATCCACCCTGCTTACAACCGTTCCTTTAGCGACCGTTGGAAGTTACGGAGATAGTGAAAAAAGGGACCTAACAATCGTTTTTCACACTTACAACCATTTTCACACTGATCAACATTCAGACGGAAACGGACTCATATTTATGACGGTTGAAGTGTCCCTGGGGGGGGCGGGGGAGCGTGTCACGTGATCCCCTTTTGCGACCTTCTGACAAACGAAGTCCGTGGGGAGGCCAGATTCATTTCACGACCGTATCACTAACTGAACAACCGTGGTGATTCACTTAACAACGGTGGCGAGAAAGGTCGTAAAATAGGGCAAAAGCTCACTTCACAAAATGGAAGGGTGAAAGACAACCGTGTCACTTTTTTCCCCGGTGCCGTTGTAACTTCGAACGGTCACTAAACAAACAGTTGTACGTCGAGGACGACCTGTTAATCATAATAATATTGCGAAAACAATTAACAACTTACTCAATATCTTTCCGGACCGAGCCCATCAGGTTCTCTCTTTCCCGCACGGCCATGAAGTTGGTTTTGGTTTTGTGGAATTCGTGGGTGTAGTCCTGTCATGGGAAGAAAAAAAAAAAAAAGAAATGATTCCAACTGCTTGAGGACTAGGAGCTTAGAAGAGAATTTGCGGCCTCCAACCATCAACCTAAGCCGAGTTAAAGTCCAAATATTGCTCCTGTCCTTTAAAAGGGAGGTCAAGAGAACCTAAAACAGATGTGTCCAATCTGGCCAGCACGACTGGTGGCGTGGACGCAGGGGGGGGGGCAACTGTCCAGCTGTAGCTGCAGCCCCTTGGGGCAGCGCAAATATCGCTTTTGCCCTCCTCTTTCTGGGCGAGGCTCGCGGGAGGCTTTTTGGCGAAAGAATTTTCCTGCCTGTCATCCATTCCTCAAGCTCAGCACAGACGGAGGGAAAGGATGGCAGGCAGGAAAAAACCCCTCCCCATTTTCCTCCTGTTCGCCAAAAAGAGAGCCTTGGTAGTACAGTGGTCTAAAGCACCCTGTTATTAACACCAGCTGTCTGCAATTAAAAGTAAGTTCGAATCTCGCCAGGCTCAAGGTCGACTCAGCCTTCCATCCTTTCTAAGGTAGGTAAAATGAGGACCCGGATTGTGGGGGCAATAAGCTGATTTTGTATAAAATATACAAAAGAATGAAGGCTATTGCTTAACGCATTGTAAGCCGCCCTGAGTCTCTGGAGAAGGGCGGCATATAAATCAAATTTTTTAAAAAAATCTATCTATCATCTATCAGTCTGTCTGTCTATCTATCTATGTATCTATCTATCCATCTATCATCTATATCTATTTATCTATCTATCATCTATACCTATCTATCCATCCATCCATCCATCCATCCATCCATCCATCCATCCATCCATCCAAGAGCCTGTAGTACAATGGACTAAAGCACCCTGTTATTAACACCAGCTGCTTGCAATTAATGCAGGTTCGAATCTCCCCAGGCTCAAGGTTGACTCAGCCTTCCATCCTTTCTAAGGTAGGTGAAATGAGGACCCAGTTTGTGGGGGCAATAAGCTGACTTTGTATAAATATACAAAAGAATGAAGGCTATTGCTTAACGCCTTGTAAGCCGCCCTGAGTCTCCGGAGAAGGGCGGCATATAAACCAAATTTTAAAAAAAGCCTCCATTCCGAACGGGCAAAAATTGTGGTCACAAAATTATAAAATGACAATGTCCACAGCATGTAAGGAGAATTTGTATAAGATGTTTTACAGGTGGCACCTACCCCCGACGAGGATAGCCAGAATGTTCCAGAATAAATCTGAGAAATGTTGGAAGTGTCATCAGACTCCAGGATCATATTACCATACGTGATGGACATGTGTAGAAGCTAAGAGATATTGGACTAAGATACACACATGGTTGGAAAAAATGATAAAGAGACATACTGACTTTAAACCAGAGATATTTTTATTAGGGATCTTACCCGAGACGTATAATAGAGAATTGTAATACTTAATTGTGAATGTTTTAACAGCGGCTAGAATTGTATTTGCTAAAAACTGGAAAGGAGAGAAGACACCTACTGATGATGAAGTTATTAAGAAAATGAGGGACTGTGCTGAAATGAGTAAATTGACATTTGAAATTAGAGAACAGGAAGATAAACAATATTATTTGATATGGGATTTGTTTTATCAATGGATAGATAATAAAACATGGAGTTGAAATATGAAATATGAAGTTGATGTAAAGATAAAATATGTGAAGTTCTTTTTTTATGAGTGATAAGCTTTTGTTATATATTGGTACTTTGGAGATGGGATTAAGCACAAAGAATGTTAACTGATTGACACACTTTTTTTTTTTTAAATTTGATTTATATGCCGCCCTTCTCCGGAGACTCAGGGCGGCTTACAATGCGCTAAGCAATAGCCTTCATACTTTTGTATATTTATACAAAGTCAGTTTATTTCCCCCACAAACTGGGTCCTCAATTTACCTACCTTAGAAAGGATGGAAGGCTGAGTCGACCTTGAGCCTGGGGAGATTCGAACTTACAGTAATTGCAGACAGCTGGAGTTAAATTACAATGCATTAGTCTGCTGAGCTATCCAGGCTCACTGGATAGCTCAGCAGACTAATTACACTGTCTGTAATTGTTTGGAATGATAATGGTTTTATGTTTTGTTGTTGTTTTAAAATAAATAAATAAAAAAACAACAGTAAGACTGTCTCAAAAATAAGCCCAAGTGCTTATTTTGAAGTCTAAAAGAAAATAAAGACTCGGTCTTATTTTGTGAGAAACACGGTATACGCTTCACACCTGACTTTTTCTGCAATCACTCTCTCCCAATGAAAGCTCGTTTTGAAATGTGGCTGATTTCCAGAGTTTTGCTTTCTTGGGAGAGAAGTTGAGGCAGATCCTTACAGTAGGAACTTTTTAAGACTTGTGGACTTCAACTCCCAGAATTCCCGTAATAAACATTAACGTTGAAATTGAGTTAAAATTGACCCAGATGGGAAGGAAAGGAACCTTGCAACAATTTTTTTTTTCCAAATTGTTTAATTTTTTTTAAGATGAGGGAGGGGTGGGGGGTGGGGGAGACCGTTCCTTGGCTTTGTGCACAGGAATATTTAACTATAAAAGGCCCGGCCAGTACAGTTAGTCCTCGACTTACAACCGTTTGAAGTCACCACGGCACTGAAAAAAGTGACTTAGGGCAATTTTTCATACTTTTTTAATTTATTTATTTATATGCCGCCCTTCTCCGAAGACTCAGGGCGGCTTACAGTGCGTTAAGCAATAGCCTTCATACTTTTTTGTATATTTTATACATTTATGTGAAGCCGCTGGGCGAGATCATCCGTGGCTTTGGGGTGAGATACCACCACTACGCTGATGACACCCAGCTGTACATCTCCACCCCAGGCCACCCCAATGATGCCCTTGAAGTGATGTCCCAGTGCCTGGAGGCTGTGCGGATCTGGATGGGGAGGAACAGGCTCAGGCTCAACCCTTCCAAGACTGAGTGGCTGTGGCTCCCGGCATCCCGATATAGTCAGTTGACTCCATCACTGACTATTGGGGGCGAGTCTTTGGCCCCCACTGAAAGGGCTCACAATCTGGGAGTCCTCCTGGATAGGCAGCTGTCTTTGGAGGAACATCTGACGGCTGCAACCAGGGGGACCTTTTATCAGGTTCGCCTGATTCGCCAGTTGCGGCCCTTTCTTGATCGGGATTCCCTGTGCACAGTCACTCATGCCCTCGTCACCTCTCGCCTTGACTACTGCAACGCTCTCTACATGGGGCTCCCCTTGAAGAGCACCCAGAGGCTCCAACCGGTCCAGAACGCAGCAGCGCGGGTAGTGACGGGAGCAGCCTGGCGCTCCCATGTAACACCGCTCCTGCGCGAGCTGCACTGGCTCCCGGTGGTCTCCCGGGTGCGCTTCAAGGTGTTGGTTATCACCTTCAAAGCGCTCCATGGCATCGGGCCTAGCTATCTTCGAGACCGCCTGCTGCTACCGACAACCTCCCATCGACCCGTGCGCTCCCACAGAGAGGGCCTCCTCAGGGTGCCATCAGCCAATCAATGTAGGCTGGTGACCCCCAGGGGGAGGGCCTTCTCTGTGGGGGCTCCCACCCTCTGGAACCCCAGAGATAAGGAGAATCCAGGACCTCGGTGCCTTCCGTCGTGCCCTTAAAACCCATTTTTTCAAGCAAGCCGGGCTGGCTTAGGAAGAAATTTTTAAATGTTTTAATTGGTAGTGAGTTTTAATTGGGCCAAATTTATATATCTTTTAATTGTTTTTAATATTTGTACTGCATGTTTTTTAATTTTGGCTGTACACCGCCCTGAGTCCTCAGGGAGAAGGGCGGTATAGAAATTTAATAATAAATAAATAAATAAATAAATACAAAGTCATCTTATTGCCCCCACAAACTGGGTCCTCATTTTACCTACCTTAGAAAGGATGGAAGGCTGAGTCGACCTTGAGCCTGGTGAGAATTGAACTCGCAGTAATTGCAGGCAGCTGGAAGCTAAATACTACCTTTAACAGTAGCATTAGTCTGCTGCGCCACTCAGGCTCCTCTTACGACCGTTGCAACATCCCCATATTCCACTGATCAAAATCCGGATGCTTGGCAACTGGCTCGTAGTTATGACGGTCGCAGTGTCCCCTGAGGTCACGTGATCAACTTTCGGGACCCTTCTGACTGGCAAAGTGAAAAGGGAAGCCGGATTCACTTGTTAAGTGTGACTAACTTAACAACGGCAGGGATTCGCTTAAGAACGCCGGCAGAAAAAAAAGGACATTTTTTTAATGTGGCCAAACCCGCTGAATGAATGTCTGGCTTAGCAACGGACGTGTTCGGCTCAATGGCGGTCGTAAGCCGAGGACTGCCTGTAGACAGGGGAGGGAAGCCCACGCTTACGGCCTTACCTGTAAGATGTCTCTGTGCCGTTGCAGGGTGTGCATCAGAGCCGCGTTGAGGGAGGGGACGCCGGCGCTGTTGGTGTACTCCGCCATTTTGTCGTTGACCGCGGTCAGCTGCAACAGAGAGGAGGAGAGCATTAGCGGCTTTGAGAGACAAGAGGTTTTTCATGGATCTGTAAAAAATAATAATAAAAAAATTAAATAAGCAGCAAACTTGACACGATGCCTTGAATATATTGAGATTAAGATAACCAGAGTTGGAAGGGACCTCGTAGGTCATCTAGTCCAACCCCCCGCCCAAGCAAGGAGCCCCTACACCATTTCTGACAGAGGGCAGTCCAGTCTCTTCTTGAAAGCCTCCAGGGATGAAGCTCCCACAACTTCTGAAGGCAACTTCTGTTCCAATGGTTGGTTGTTTCTCACTGTCAGGAAATTCCTCCTTATTTCCAGGTTGAATCTCTCCTTGGTCAGTTTCCATCCATTGTTCCTTGTCTGGCCTTTGGGTGCCTTGGAAAATAGCTTGACCCCCTCCTCCTCTCTGGGGCAGCCCCTCCCTCAAATACTGGAAGATGCTCTCCTGTCTCCCCTGGTCCTTCTCTTCCCTAGACTAGCCAGGCCCAGTTCCTGCAACCGTTCATCGTATCTTTTAGCCTCCAGTCCCCTCATCATCCTGGTTGCTCTTCTCTGCACTTTTTCTAGAGTCTCAACATCTTTTTTACAGAATGACAGAGTTGGAAGGGACCTTGTAGGTCATCTAGTCCAACCCCCAACCCAAGCAAGGAGACCCTACACCCTTTATGACAGATGGCAGTCCAGTCTCTTCTTGGAAGCCTCCAGGGATGAAGCTCCCACAACTTCTGAAGGCAACTTCTGTTCCATGGGTTGATTGTTTCTCACTGTCAGGAAATTCCTCCTTATTTCCAGGTTGAATCTCTCCTTGGTCAGTTTCCATCCATTATTTCTTCCCTGGCCTTCGGGTGCTTTGGAGAATAGCTTGACCTCCTTCCTCCTCTCTGGGGCAGCCCCTCAAATATTGGAAGATGCTCTCCTGTCTCCCCTGGTCCTTCTCTTCACTAGACCAGCCAGGCCCAATTCCTGCAACCGTTCATCGTATGTTTCAACCTCCAGTCCCCTCATCATCCTGGTTGCTCTTCTCTGCACTCTTTCCAGAGTCTCAACCTCTTTTTTATAGTGTGGGGACCTTACTAAGGCTTTATAGAGTGGTATTAGAACCTCCCTTGATCTAGATTGTGTCCCTCTGTTAATGCAGTTTAGGATTGCATTGGCTTTTTTGGCTGCCGCCACACACTGCTGGCTCATATTTAGCTGGTTGTCCACTAAGACTCCAAGATCCCTCTCAGTCTAAATGTGTACTTTTGGTTTTTCTTACCTAAGTATAAGATGGTTCATACAAGCAACCCTTCGGCATTACAGGTCGTCCTCGACTTACAACAGTTTGCTTAGTGACCGTTTGAAGTTACGACATCCCTGAAAAGGACTGACTTATAACCGTTTTTCGCACTTCTTTCCTTGGTGAGTTTCCATCCGTTGTTTCTTCTCCTGCCTTCTGGGGCTTTGGAGAATAATTTGACCCCTTCTTCGTCAGGGCAGCCCCTCCAATACTGGAATACTGCTATCATGTGCCCCCTTGTCCTTCTTTTCATTTAACGAGCATATTATAACCGTCTTTTTATTCCTGCCTCATGGAGAAATCAGGAAGCTTCTCCTTAATTCCAGGTTGCTTCTCTCCTGGATCAGTTTCCATCCGTTGTTTCTTCTCCTGCCTTCTGGTGCTTTGGAGAAGAGGTTGACCCCCTCTTCTTCTTTGGGGCAGCCCCTCAAATATTGGAAGACTGCCATCATGTCCCCTCCCAGTCCTTCTTTTCATTTAACGAATGAAACGAAAATTTTAACTGGTTTTTTTAAATTCCTGCCTCTTAGAGAAATTCAGAAATGTCTTCTAGATTGCTTCACTCCTTGATTAGTTTCCATCCGTTGCTTCTCGCCCTGCCTTCCAGGGCTTTGGAGAATAGATAGATAATAAAAACTCAAATTGCCCCATGCTGTCTGGCTGGGGAATTCTGGGAGCTGAAGTCCACAAGTCTTAAAAATTGCCACGGTTGGACATGCTTGCTTTAAACCATTTGTTGTCGTACCAGCCCATTGATGACTCTGGTGTCTTTCAGTTAAACTGGGCACAATCCAACATAGAACATTGCTGATTTAGATATACTCCTCGACTTTAATAGTGATTGTTATACTCGACTTTAATCCCTTTAATAGCCTTAGTGGTGCAGCGGACTAAAGTGCTGTTAAATAGCACTTAAGTAGCACCAGCTGCCTGCAATTACTGCGAGTTCAAATCTCACCAGGCTCAAGGTTGACTCAGCCTTCCATCCTTCCGAGGTAGGTAAAATGAGGACCCGGATTGTGGGGGCAATAAGCTGACTTTGTATTAAAAAAAAGAACACCGCTTGGGGGGCGGGGGCCAAAAGCCCTACTAAGCAGGTATATACAAAAGTATGAAGGCTATTGCTTAACGCATTTTAAGCCGCCCTGAGTCTCCGGAGAAGGGTGGCATATAAATCGAACCAATAAGGCACCCTGTTATTAAGCTGGTTATTAAGACCAGCTGCCTGCAATTACTGCAGGTTCGAATCTCGCCAAGGCTCAAGGTTGACTCAGCCTTCCATCCTTTCTAAGGTAGGTAAATTGAGGACCCAGTTGTGGGGGCAATAAACTGACTTTGTATAAATATACAAAAGGATGAAGGCTATTGCTGAGCACATTGTAAGCTGCCCTGAGTCTCCGGAGAAGGGCGGCATATAAATCAAATTAAAAAAAAGTAAGTAAATAAATAAATAATAAATAGCAATAGCACTTAGATTTATATACCGCCCTATAGCGCTTTACGTACTTTGAGTGGTTTACAGTGTTAGCGTTTTGCTGGTCATTCGCATCCTTTTTAGGGAGCCCTTTGAGGCCACTTGGAGGATTACCTGTGTCCTCGGGGACACCTGAGTGGTGCAAATGGGTGTGGAGCCTTCTTGGCTGCAGGATGTTTTCTACCCTGCATCCCTTCACGGTGGAAGACAGGCGCAGGATGTTGGGGATGTGTTTGCGTCGTTGTCTGCATCTCAAACCGAAGTGGACATGGTATTTGTAGTCTGCAATTTTTCTGGAAATCCGTTCCTACTCCCGCACCATCCAAAGGGCATAGCTAAATATCTATGGAGATTCTCCATCACCCAGGTCATGACTGTCCCAAAGGTGCTTTTTTCAAGAGGCAACTGGACTTTCTGGTTTTTCTTTGAAGACATTTCGCTTCTCATCCAAGAAGCTTCTTCGGCTCTGACTGGATGGTGGGGAATGGAAGGATTGATGCTCCTTGCAGACAAAGCTGGTCATTTGCATCCTTTTTAGAGGGTCGTTGAGGCCGCTTGGAGGTTTGCCTGTGTCCTCAGGGTCACCTGAGGGGTGCAAATGGTTCCTGTAGTCTGCCATTTTTTCCTCCTGAAATCCATTCCTACTCCCACACCATTCAAAGGGGGTTGATCCCAAATTATATGGCTAAAAGTCTGTAGAGATTCTCAGTCATCCAGGTCATGGCTGTCTCAAAGGTGCTTTTTTCAGGAGGCAACTGGACTTTCTGGTTTTTTCTTTTGAAGACATTTCACTTCTCATCCAAGAAGCTTCTTCGGCTCTCATAGTTGGGACAACTATGACCCAGGCAACTGAGAACCTCCATAGACCTTCAGCGTTTTAAGCAGGAGTCAGAGCTGGCCTCCACAACGTCGTCTTGTCTTACCTTCCCCAAGAGTTGCTCAATTTCCACAGCCATTGCTTCAAACATGCGGTCTTGGCTGGATCCGTTCAGGAGAGGGGTTGTGTCCGAGCTAAGCAAGGAACAACACACAGAGGTAGCGTTAAAAGTTTTAACACGTGGTAGGAAATCTTCATTCACATTAATTTGAGTTTTATCCCACCTTTATTACTGCGTAAGTAATTCTAGGCTGCGAAAATATGTAAGACTCTTTCTCCTCCTATTTTCCCCACAACAACCCTGTGAGGTGGATGTCACCTCACCTCCTGCCATGAGCAGGAGGGAGGGAGAACTGAAGTGAATTCCATACATTCTTCCTGACCGCAAGCAGAAGGAGGGTGTTAGGTTTCACAGCCAGCCAAAGTGGTGAATTGGAGAATGTGATTTATGACATGGCCAGGGAGGAGGGGAGAGACAGGGTCAGAGGGGAACGTAAATCTACGTGGGATTGGTCCTAACTGCATCCCAGTATTGCTGGAATGTTGCTCCTAATAAATGACTATATTTCCTTTGAAGTTTGGATCATGGCTCATGAATTAATTAGGGCATCTTTCGGAAACTTGACAGTGGGTTCAGCTCAGAGAGAGATGGACTGAAAGTCGACCAGCTGGTTTTCATGACTAATGCAGGACTAGAACTCATTGTCTCCTAGTGATTGGCCCAAGGTCACCTAACTGGCTTTCATGCCTAAGGAAGGACTAGAACTCATCACCTCCTGCTTTCTAGATCGGCACCTTAACCACTGTACCAAACTGGCTCTCATTTCACTTTTAACTCATTTCAAGTATTCAAACTGGCCAGAGGTCCAAGCCACCTCAATACAGGCAGTCCTCGACTTACAACAGTCCATTTAGTGACCGTTCAAAGTTACAACGGCACTGAATAAAGTGACTTAGGGCCGTTTTTTTCACAGTTACGACCTTTTCCAGCATCCACGTGGTCCTGTGATCAAAATTTGGACGCTTGGCAACTGACTCATATTTATGACCGTCGCTGTGTCCTGGGGTCACATGATGCCCTTTTGCAATTTATTTATTTATTTATTTATTTATTGAATTTCTATACCGCCCTTCTCCGAAGGACTCTAGTCTTTGGACAAGCAAAATCAACAGGGAAACCAGATTCACTTAATAACCATGTTACTAACTTATTAACTGCGGCGATTCACTTAAACAACTGTGGCAAGAAAGGTGGTAAAATGGAGCAAAACTCACTTAACCGATCTCTCACTTAACAACAGAAATTTTGGGCTCAATTGTGGTTGTTAAGTCGAGGACTGCCTGTATAGCACACGCTTGCCAATATTTGCAAAATTTAATACATTTAAATAAATACAAATAGTTGCTTATAGGCTGCAAATGTAGGCCTGGATTGAGGAAAGGAAAGGCCGTACTTGCTCCTCCGGACTTGCCTGTTCAAACGTTCTAAGACGGTGTTTCTCAACCTTGGAAGCTTGAAGATGGGTGGACTTCAACTCCCAGAATCCCCCAGCCAGCAGCGCTGGCTGGGGTGAACTGGTCAAAATTGAACTGCTGGCAGTGAGCAGAGTTAGCCTGCAATAGTAATACCACTTAAACTTATATACCGCTTCACAGTGCTTTTACAGCGCTCTCTAAGCAGCTTCTTGCCCCCAAGAATCTGGGTCCTCATTTTACCAAGGATGGAAGGCTGAGTCAACCTGGAGCCGATCAGGATCAAACTCCTGGCAGTGAGCAGAGTTAGCCTGCAATAGTATTACCACCTAGATTTATATACTGCTTCACAGTTCTTTACAGTGGTCTCTAAGCAGATTACAGAGTCAGCCTTTTGCCCCCAACAATCTGGGTCTTCATTTTACCGACCTCCAAAAGGATGGAACCCGTTCCATCCTTTCGGTTTACTGAGCCGTGGCTGAGTAAACCTTGAGCCAGCCAGGATCGAACTGCCAAGCTGCAGGCAGTTGGCAGTCATCAGAAGTAGCCCTGCAGTACTGCCTTCTAATCACTGCGCCACCATAGTAACTTATCAACTGCAGTGATTACAACGGGCAAGAAAAGTCGTAAAATGGGGCAAAACTCACTTATCAAATGTCTTCCTGAACAACAGAAATGGTGGTTGTAAGTCGAGGACTACCTGTATTTGTTTGGGGACCGCCTGTGCTGTAAACGGAACCCTTGTGTTTGGCCAATGGGGATTTAGTACCGTGGTTCTCCGAAAACATGACCCACCTCAATAATTAGCCCAAGCCTAATTTTTTGAGGGTGGGCCTAATATTACCCCACCCCAAAAATAAGCTGGGGGGGAATGGGCGTGGCCAGAACAAGTGGCGGTGCGGGGGGGCAACTACCCAGCTGCAACTGCAGTCCGCTGGCCCCTTGGGGCGGCACAAATACCGCTTTTGCCCTTCTCTTTCTGGGCAGCGCTTCTACTTTGCTTTTTCCTCTGTTGGAAGAAATATCCTTCTGAGTTCAGCTCCAAGTGGGGAAAAAGACACTGGAAACATGGAGATTGCTTGGAAAGATGGTTTAATGGTGGACAGGATCACATGGCTTGAGTTCCTGAACAGAAAAGGGGCGGAGATGCTGCGAGTCCTCAGGTTTTAGGCCCTCTCTGGCTTTGAACTTCTGGGGCCAGAAAGAGTATCCTGATTGGTTGTCAGGGCCCAGGGGGTGGGGGTCTTAGCTAGCCTTGCTGGCTGATGTAATCTTCCCAGGTGCCATGCGGTGAGTTTCTGTTGCTAGATAGGTCCTATTGTATTAGTTTCTGTTGCTAGATGGGTCCTATTGTGTTGCAGATGATGGTCCATTGACAAAGGTGGGGGAATGAGTGAGCTTGTCTGAGGCTTTTATGGTCCATTGACAAAGGTGGGAGGCGGAAAGCTGCTTTGTCTTTAAAAGATGTTTCTCCATTTCTCATCCAGGGAAACATAATATTCTGCCTTTTTTAATATTTCCTAAAATATTTCATTCTTCTAGGAGAGGGGTGGGTGATAACTTCCTACACCTCTTTGGGAGGCTCTCGGATGACAGGCATTTTCCTGCCTGTCATCCATTCCTCAAGCTCAGCACAGACTGAGGGAAGGATGGCAGGCAGGAAAATCCCCCTCCCCATTTTCCTCCCGTTCGCCAAAAAGCCTCCAATTTTCAAGTCTAAAAGAAAATAAGACTCGGTCTTATTTTCTGAGAAACACGGTATGTCGTGTTGAATTTTGGAAGTCTTCCGTGTGGCTGGTCTTCCTTGCCCACAACCTAGTCCAGAGAGTTATTTGATTATACACGTAATAACAGCTGCAAGAATTGTTTATGCTCAAAATTGGAAATTAGAGAAAATACCTTTGGAAAATGAAGTAATAAAAAAGATTTTAGATTGTGCAGAAATGAACCGATTAACTTTGTTGATTAAAGATAGGGAAGAATCAGAATACTTCAGAATATGGAATTATTTCTATTGTGGGTTGGAAAAGAGATATAAATGATTAATTTTGTAACTGTGTGTAAAAATTTGATGGCAAGAATATGGTTATAGGAATGAACTTTTATAGTGGTTTGGATGACGATTAAGAGAGAAGAAACTGTTGGAACAAGAAGAACAAAAAGAACTGAAGAAGTTAACACCGAGATGTCACAGGGGAAGGATCATTGAATTTGCGCATGGTCGAATTTGCGCATGTCCAAGATGGCGGCGCCCGCTGGGATGGCGATCTGAGGATGGGGCGCCGACCTACCCTTTGGGTCCTTTGGGGGTCGTTTTGAAGATCCTCGACCCCAGGACCTGTCAGGGGAGCTCCCGGCCAGCACGGAGAGGGTTTTCTTTCCCTCCGTGACTGAGCCGAGGGGAAGGGGCGATGCGTGGAGCGCCAGGCTGATCAGCTGGGCGTCGGCAGCGTCGGCAGCGTTTCTTTCACAGCCGGAGCCATCAATTAGAGGGAGCGGCGTTGTGCCGGGGGGCGCCCGCCGCGCGGCAAGTTTCGAAGCCGGGGGGGTGGCCCGAAGTGCTACACGATGTGTCGGGCACCCCCTGAAGACCTCTGGGACGTCGCCAGGCTCTTTGGGGGCTGGCAACGATGGCGCGGTGGTGGCGGCGATGGCGGTTGCTGTGGAGGCTAGCTGGCGGTCAGACGGCGCTGGGGACCCCCCCTTTTTGGAGTAGGAGCTGGGGGGGCAACAACCAACAGGTCTGGGAGACCTGCAACCACGGTTGGGCGGAAAGGACCCGGAGCGATTTTCTGGGCCTCGGGAGGCCTTAATTTGTGGTTGTGCGGGGGGCGGGGGGGCTTGAGAAAGCCGCCCCATTTCTGCCCCATTTCTTTCTCCTCCAGCGTTCCCTTTTAGAACTGGGCCCACCTGGACCAACTGTCAGCCTGTGGGACCCATTGGCGCTATGCCCTATTATTATTACTATTCTGAATCCCCTGACTCTGGAGAGGACTATTTTCATCTGAATGGGAGACCGGTACATGGCTGCATCTCGTCGGCTGAGGGGGCTAGACATTGCCTGACCACCGTGAGAGGGTGGCCAGATGCCAGAGCCCCTGGGGGCTGAACCGGGACGCTTTCTACATATATGCACTTTACCAGCTTTCCACACATATGCACTTTACCAGCGAGGGGACTTTACCAGCGAGGGGACCTTACCATCGGTCTTTACCACCGGACAAAACGCCGTGAGAGGGCGACTTTTGGACCTGACCCCTGGACGCTGTCTATATGCACCGGTTCATTGCTGCCACCCCACCACAAGAGGGGGTTGTCCAGCTGACCTAACCACCGTGAGAGGGTGGTTAGATCTATTTCCCCCTTGGAACTGTGGTCGTCCTGGCTTTGGACTATGTCCTCTGTTGTGAGGGGACAGGGGACTTGGTACTGCAAATATGTCTCTGAGATCCCCCATTCTTTTATCTTCTCCTCGGTCCTTTATATACACCCTCAGGATATGGTCGTGTTACCCATTATGATTAATGTACTCAGCAGCGGAGCTTCTTGGTCTGCGAGACTCCCCCCTCTCGCAGGCTTGGCCCTCCATTCTATCGAGGGCCTACCTCGATGACGGGCTCTGGAGTCCCGAGAGGTGGCATGCCGCAAAGAGGGGGCTGCGGGGTTTTTAAAATTGTCCTTGTTTA